CGGGAGTCAGAACCCAGTCGCCCCAAGCTCACACTATCAAGATTTTCCACCCACATGTAATCTGTTTGGGCAAATGTAATTAGCTGTGAATGATTCACTACAGGAAAAATAAGTATTGATGATGGATCATATTTGTATTTAGCCTACCAAGCAAAATTTTAAGTGTTAAACTTGAACTTTTTAAAAGGATGTGCTGAATATTATACAATATAAAAATTTTAAAGTTCTAGAACAATGACTCTCTGAAAGGGGGCGATTTTCTCTCCAGGGCACATTTAGCCAAGTCTAGAGTACATTTTGGGTTTTACACTTGGATGGTTGGGGAAACCGAGTGGCAGTTATTTCCTAGAGGACAACGAAGCTGTTAAACCTCCTTCAGTGCACTGGTCAGCCTGTACAATAAAGATTTATCTGATCAATAGCAGCACCAAGGTTGAAAAACCCTAACCAAGAGAAAGGTACCCAAGAGGCAAAGTGCCTTGTTTCCTTATAAAAATATTTCTCTCCTAACAATGAAGATAATGACGGGTAACATTTGCTTTTGGAAAGGAGTACCCTATCAGTAATGAGACAGACTCTCTCAAATGTGGACCTTCATACCCTACAGGAAAATCACTTCCTGTGCTTAAAAAAAAAAAAAGACTAACTTTCAGAGTCAGTTTGAGATGATAACTGGAGATCTTCATTTTTCATACGTACTCCAGACGAATTTTATGCACTAATGGCTTGAAAAGCCACTAGATTAGAAAAAGTCAAGTCTGAAGAGAAAGAAACCATTTCAGTTTATTTTAATTGAATAAGAAATTGAAAAAGCATGGAGGCCTGTAATAACCCTGTAAAAACAGAGAGGAGGGTACAACTTGATACATATTAAGAGGTAGAATTTTTGGAACATAGTGACATGATTAGCTCTAGGAAAATATGAAAGAGGAAAGTATCAAAGATGACTGTGTTCTGTGATTTGGATGTGGGATGGATGTCAGTGCTATTTTCTTACATCCAAGATAACTCATGTTGGAGTGTGAGGATTTAAGATGCAGTAGAATTAATCCAATATTTAACACAGGGCCTAATATATGGCAGAATTTCAGTAAATACTTACTAAAGGAGAAAAAAAATTTCTTCCCAAAGGATTACCAAGACATTTAGATAAACTTGTCTCCTTAAGTGGCTTATGATATGCCTAAGTCAGAATATTATCCCTCCCCATCATCCTGAATGATGCAAGATATCTAGTGTTTGAAAGAGAAGGGAGTGATGGGATTCAGGCTGCATGTTTTTATTATCTGTCTACTATATGCCAGGCACTGTCTCAGAACTGGAAACAGGCCTTATGCAGAATTCCTAGGATTAAAATTCTTAATTTAAGAACCCTTCCCCCCAAAAGTTCCCATACATTGAAACTTGCAACAGATATGTAATTTGATACAGCTATAATGGTTCAATATTTTGACATCTATTCTCTAGGAATGAGATTGGTCCTGTTTTACTACCAAAGGGAGAGTAAAAATTATTTTTCTATACTCTGATCATGAAAACTAATGATCATAAGGAGAAAAGAAATGCTCCAGAATAGAAATGAAGGATCCCAGCTGGATATGTCAACTAAAACAGAAATTTTAAAAAACAAAGATAAGTTATATAAGGCCCATTTATTGCTAATTCTAGTGCTGAGGCAGTGTGTGGCATATAGTAGATCTTCAATAAAAATACACAGGCTGAATACCATCAGTCCCTTCTCTTTTTCTTTTAAACATCAGATATCTTGAATTATTCAGGATGATTGGGAAGGATAATATCTTGATTTGTCCTTTTCCCAAGCCATATCATGAGCATGAGGCATAAGAAAGTATCCTTTGCTCTCTGCCTTGGTAGTCTAAGGTGTAAAAGGCAGGGTATACTGTTCTAAACACAGTCCTCATCCTAGCATTGTATGTACTCCATTACTGAGTGTGAAATTATTTCAATTTTAGAAATAATTAATTTCACTTTTAACAAATTATATTAAGTGTTAACAATTCCTAAATGTTGCAAAATTGTAATGTAGGGAATGGGACTACAGAGAGTTTTGTATAGGAGTTTCTGAGGAATCAACCCATATATTCAGATTGGAAATAAGAAATAAAAGAATGAATTCTCTTAGACATTTTTCAGAACCATTTGAATTGATTAGAATCATGGCCCCAACTGCTCTACCACGTCATGATGATGAGGGCTAGGATTATGTTTTCTTTTCCTATTCAAGCCCTCAATGTATTCTCCTATGGATTTTGTTGTGTTTAAGAAGTATTTGGACTATAGACAGAAGAGGCAAATTCTTTTATTTGGGGACATATTGAACCATTTTTTCTTACCAAAGAAATAGACTCATTAAAAAAAGAAGAAGAAGAAGAAGAAAGAAAGCATAAAGAAGTAGTCTCATTAAAGATATCTTATTTTCTCTCTAAAACTATAAATTCTGTGTTGCAAAACTATGTCTTGGAGAAAAATATAATAACAGTATATTTTCGGTTTTCTACCTGCATTTCCCTGCCACCCATGACCATTTATGCCGATTACCGTATTAAAGGCTCAGGCTACCTAAACATTTGATATATAAAGGAAGAGGTAAGAGGAAGTCACATTTGGTGACAATACTTTACTTGATTCTTATGAGTGATTGAATTATAAGTCATCTATTTCCAAAAGATTTTACATGAAATACATAAGAAATAAGTGTCAAAAAGAAAGGCAGAAACCATTAAGAAGAAATTTTTGAAACCAGTGACTATACTATTAGACAATTCCTGAGTACATGATATAGGCAATTGTGTTTCTAAGGGTTTTCCATGAGTTAACTTATTTTCATCCTTACCATGGAACTATTAAGAAAAGTTTTTTGCAAAATCCCCATATTCTTGATGAGGAAACTGAAGCATTAGAGAATTTAATAATTTGCCTGAGGCCACATGGCTCATAGGTGTTAGAATTGGGATTTGATTTCTCGGAGTCCTGCTGAAATTTAAATGCTAATCCAGGATACTATACTGCCTTCCAAACATGGTGACACAACTTTTCTGAGCTTCAAGCCAGGAAGGCAAGAACATTCAATATCTTTTCTAAGTGCAAAATTCTTAAGAAATCAGTGGGTGGATTATAATATGTCAAAAAACATCATTAATTGCTGTTGGCACAACATGGGTTTTACAAAATAATGTTTCTCACATCAACCATCTAAAAGAGAGGCTTAAATAATAACTTTGTGAATATAGGTAATATGATTTGAAATGCAGATTTCCTTGAGTGGATAGCATTGGTGATTTATTAACCCCTGTTTTATTTACTTCAGACCATTTGTATCAGTCTGTAATTATCTTGTTTATGAATTTATTTGTCTTGTGTCACAGGCCTCCCCTGCAAGAATGAAAGTAAATCTTATGTGTTCTTTCTGTTTATCTTCAGAATTTAGCATGGAATCAGGCATAACTGGTGCTCAAAATTAGTTTTTGTGTAAATTCATGAATGAACGAATCCCATGAATGTGAAGAATTTTGCCTAAGAACATAGCCCCCAACATCTTCAAAATATAAATTATGGCTATGAAAAATCATTATTCTTAAGTAGTTACTAATATAGGGATCTTGACCAGAGTTGAGAAGGCAGTTTGTTGACTTTTTCTCTGTTTTTTTTTCTTCTTTTTAAAATACTTTTTATAACTTTATTAATTTACTTTTTTATGTGATGCTGAGGATTGAACCCAGTGCCTCACGAATGCTAGGCAAGCGCTCTTCCACTGAGCTACAACCCCAGCCCCTGGCTCCTCTACCAGAGGAAATATTTTAAGTGATGTTTGAGTTTTAGAACTTCTAAACCGGTAATCTTTTGCTATTTCTTTTCCTTTTTAGGAACCCCTTTTCAGTGGTCTAAAAGAGAAGAGGAGGAATCATGTCCATGATTGCAGCTTTCTATGACAACAAGTCCATCCTCATCACCGGGGCCACAGGCTTCCTGGGCAAAGTGCTCATGGAGAAGCTGTTCCGCACCAGCCCTGACCTGAAAGTCATCTACATCCTTGTGAGACCCAAGGCTGGCCAAACCCTGCAGCAAAGGGTTTTCCAGATCCTCAACAGTAAGGTATGCCTCAGGGGAAGATCCCTGTGCGTGGGCAATGCCTTAGGGCACAGTGACTCCCTGCGTGTTCCCTTCTAGCCCCAAACTGCATGTGGGGTTAGAATATCTGTGCAGGCAGAGACAAGGAGATACTAAGATAGCTACCGACTATGATATTTTCCCAAAAGAGGGAAGAGAGTGCTAGATTCCATCCAGGACGGTGAGGATATCATCTTATTCTGAAAATTACTGATAGGCAAAACACTAAAACTCCTAGAGTGGATGTTCCTGGCTTGAAATCTGTCAGTCACAAGTTCATCTGAACTCTTCACTGATTTTCATCTAAGTTTGAGGTGATTTCCCCACTCCCCAAATGTTGGATATTCAATGATGTCCTCTTCTCCCTCACCTAGTATATAAGCAAGTCAGACTTTAAAAGCCCCAGTGTGACTCCATGAGGCCTACTAACCTACACTGCCTTCATAACTAATGGTTCTTAAGAATAGACCAAAAAGGTGATACACCATAAAAACAAAACCTAGACTAAACTCCCGATCTCTTTTCACAGCTTTACTCAAATATATATATCTCCCCAGTGGACTTTATTTTCATCACGTGGTGGACATACCCTTCATCAGTTCACTCAGTTCTGTTGCCAGCTAAGCATTTCTAGAGACATCTTGTGGCAGACAGTCTTGTGGTCAGCACAAGCTTTTTTTGCTGCTCCTTTCAAAGCACTGTATTTGATAACCCAGCAACATTAGTGTTATTCTGGACATCTTGACTATGCTAGGTACAACATCTTGAAACTGCCTTGTAAATCCTCACACTTGTTTCCACTGTTGCTCTATTTGTTATCAGCTGTTACCTTTTCTAAACAATGATCCTCAAAGTGGGGCCTCAAGATCAGGTGCATCACATAATCTGGGAACTGTCAGTAATCATCAGATAGTGCTTCAAAGTCAGGCTGACCTGGGTTTGAATCTCAGCACTATCAATTAGCTATGTGACATGGGCATGTAGACATAGTGATTTACCACAATAATAATGTCTGCATGGAAACAAGAACAGAATCTATCACTTGACAATATTAAAAAAAAAAAAAGCTATTGGTTACACAAGCACCACTTTCCTGGCACTATCTGGAATCTGTGTAAAAAGTTTCCATGAAAAGAATTATGTGCTTGATTTCATTTCTTGGTATCCCAACACTGTCCACTACATGAATCATTATGCTTCAGAGTATAAGGATGTTATTGCCAACTGCCTGTAGATAAAGCTCTGTGAAAATAAGGAATTACCTAACAAGTAGTTATTGGCCATCTGTGAAATGCAAGGTATTATTGCCCATATTTACTTTGAAACTGAAAATTTGAAATAAAGACAAGTGAGCTAAGACTGTGTTTCTTAAATTATATAGATTTTTTATTTGTTTGTTTTTGTTTTCTGGTACTTGGGATTGAACCCAGGGATATTTTACCACTGAGCTACATCCCAGTTCTTGTTATTTATTTTTTTTTTTTTATTTTGAGACAGGGTCCCACTGAGCTGCTTAGGGCTTAGTTTTATCAGATAGCATTTTTATAGATGATTAAGAATCTTGTAGAGTAAGACTATATTGTCATCCAGATTTGCATGCAGAAATTTATTGAAGTGCTTACTATGTGCCACTAGTTGGTGAGGTAAAAAGAAAATTGAAGACAAAAATTACATAGTCAAGTGAAGTCTCAGAGCAGACATGTAAGAAATATGCTGAGGCCAGATTCTGAAAGACTTGAATAACTGAAATTGGTCTAAAAACCAAAAGTATTGATTATATGATGAAAAGTCCAAGACTAGAGTGGTGAGCAACTGTGACTTAACCAGAGCTCTGGCTGCCTCCATCTGTGTCTCCAGCTCTGCCATTTTGTTGTGGCTTGATGCCCTTAGGAATGAGATGGTTGCCATGGTTTCAGGCTTCACACATGCATATATGGCAATCTTTGAATGATAAGAGGTAGCTTTCTCTTGGGTCTCCCGAGATTGATGATGCTTCTTTTCCAGAAAACCTCACTGACTGTCCCTCATCTCTCATCTGTCAGGGCAGAGTTGCATGTCCATTTCTAGCCAACCCCTGTGACCTGAGGTGTGCCATGGGTTGATATGTTCAGAAACCTCTGAGGTAAGACAATCACTGTTCAGAGATGAGTGTCTCTAGGTCAGTCAGCCTTTCCCTGAAGGTGAGATCATCTTCTAAAGCACAGTAGCTACTGAAGAGTGGAGAATACCTGCATAATAATGATAATTGAGACTTTCTGAGAGGTGGAAGAGAGATAAATATCCCGAGTAGCACATTGTTCCTGAAGCCAGACAGAGTTGGCATCAACTCTCCACCACTGAGCAATGTGACTTTATGTAACCTAACCTCAGGTTCCACATTGAAACAATAATAGTCATTGTCTTTTGAATTATGGTAAGATGTAAATGAAGTAATATTGGAAAGGCACTTAGAATTGTGCCTGGACCCTAGGAAGGACTTAGCTTTCCATATTTTTAGTCAAATGTGGGGGAGAATTTTGTTCTGCTTTTATAGCATGGCACTCCAACTAAGGGCTGATTTATTTATTTATTTATTTATTTAGTCCTCTGCCAGTGAGATGATTTCTTATAATAATAATAATAATAATGTACTCAAGTGATGCTGGTGAGGATGGGAAAGATATATGTGAGATCTGTGGTAAGTTCAATTAGTTAAATTAAACTGAAATCATATGGCTCACAAAGATGAGAGTATTTACTGTGCAGCCCTCTATGGAAGTTTGCCAACTCCTGGCATAGGGAATCAGAAAAATACCTTCTGATGCAGAACAAATAAACATATTAGGTAAAATGTGTTTTTATAAAATAATCTGAATGCACGGCTGAGCTAGAGACAAAGGAGATGCGTAGAAGTTCAAAATGAAAAGAAAGTTTCTAGAAGCAGTCAAACAAGCATGTGAATCTGGCCAATATATTTCAAGAGCCAAGTACATGCCAAGCACTTTGCCCTGTGCCGGAGGAAAAGTGGGGATAAAGTGATAAATAAAACAGACTTGGTGATTGACCTCAATGATAGTCCAGTGAAATAGAAGTTTTGTAAGAAATAAATATATATGTAAGGATTTTGAAAAGCCTTACAAGAAAAAGAAGAGAGAGAGAGATCAATAACAAGGACATGCTTCAAAATCATGTGTCTAGAAGAAGACTCAGAGATGGTGTCAACAAAGCTCAGAAGAGTTGAATGTGTTCAACAACATGTAAGAGAGTGATTATAACTATTAGGAGATCCTATTTGGCATGAATTGAGAAGGCTCCCTTTCCCTGTGGGTTAGTAGGGTCCTTAAATAGCTTCCAAATCTATTCTCTGGAAGGAACCCTCTTTTCCATCATTTTTTTGTGGCCAACGGCTTCACCTTTTGGAAGGCCTTTCCTTGTCTCCTATCCACTGACTGTACCTCTGAAGTGGCTGTCGGATATACTCGTCTCCATGTCTTCACACCTTCACAACTCATTCTGCAACTGTAAGTGTGGGAACCAATGGAATTTTCAGGTTTAAAGTTATTTGTTTCTTGAGCCTAGATCTAGACCCAAGTAAAAAGAAATTCCTGATTCAGGCACACAGTATGACAGCTTGTTGCACATGAAAGACATGAGAGAATGGATTAATGAAGAGATGAAAGGAAGAAGGAGTGTGTGTTAGGTACACAATCATCTAAACACTGGACAGAAATGAAATTCATTAAGCTTGTTCATTCAACAAATATTGGTTGAGTACTTACTAAGTGTCATCACTATGCCAAATGTGGAGGCCATCACAGTAACGCATGAGAGTAATGACCTTGAAAAGTTCTTAGATATCTAATTAAAAAGAGAAAATGGTGTAGGTAGTGTGCTATTGGTTTTCCATTTGAAAAAAACATTGTCATGTTTGCCACACTTAAAACTCTTACTTTCACCAAGTGTTAAATTAAGAAAGCATAAAACAGAATTACTAGGAAATGAAATTTTTATGTGTACATGCCCTTAAGTAATAATCCTATATTGGAAAATTGATTGGAGCGGCCCACTTTTGGAATAACCAATCTGCACTTTGGCCCCTTCCTCCAACTCTAATCGAATAAAGTATAAAATAAGACAGAATCCATAAGACATACTACAATACTCACCAGAATGAAGCCCATGATGATTGGAAACATGTCAAGCAGTTAAGAAGAGTTAGAGATTTTCTCTGACATTGCCTTCATATCACTTACGAATTTTAGTCTCAGACAAATCTACTTCCACAACATTATGTGTGGAGGTTACTCAAAGGTCTTGTCTGGGTCCAGTCAAACTACATTTCTGGTGTACCATTCTCATTCCTGTTCATTCTAACTCTGAAGAGTTTTCTTATCTGTGTTAGTTTCTCAGGGGAGGCTTTGGACTCTGCAAATATTTATTGAGTATTTAATATGAATTAAGGCCTGGTTTAGATAAAATGCCATTTAACTGACTATTTTGACATGAACACAGTGATTTGAGTATAACTTATTTCTAAGTAGGTCCTTGGAGTAGTGCTTTCTTTTTCCTCCCATGGTGCTGGATTGAACCCAAGCCTTGTACATGGTAGGCAAGTGCTCTACTACCGAGCCACACGCATGCCCCAACCCCCTTAGTATAGCTTTCAAAAAATATTTCTCCCCAGTCATCCATAGTAATGAGTGAACTCTAACTCAACATAAGTACGCTAATGCTCCTAAAGGTAGGTAGACATACTGTTGTCAGGCATAGGAGGCTTGCAAATTTTTCTTTCAAATATAATAAACAAAAATGTTACCAATTTGTCCTCAGGAAATATGATCAAGAAGACATCTGTTCTATTTATCAAAATTCATACATCTGCTTCATTCTTTTCCTTTCATGGTATACATAGCTACCACCTCTCATTTCCTGTTTCCTTGCTTTCAAAGAGAGACAATTAAGAATGAGATACTTTGGAAACAAACTTTAAAAAAAAAATCCATTTGCCACACAGAAGTGAGACTCAAGAATCATAAAAGAGGATTCATTTTCATACTTATGACTAAGTTTCTGAAGTATTTTCTGAGCACTTAAAGAGACATCAATAGAGGGAGAAGTATCTGAATTAATGATAAATTCTTGAGGATTTTATCAAAGATAATTGAGGTGGCACTCTAAGGAAACAACCAGAAACACACAAATAATATACAAATATATTTATTTCAGTATTATTTATAATAACAAAAACTGGAGCCAATCTGAATGTTCTATAACAGAGGAATGATTAAACAAACAACAATACATACATGTGTTGGATTAGTAGGCCTGAATTAAAAATCATGTTTTATAAAATAGTAAATGGCATGAGGAAATGTTTGCAATATATTCAGTGTAAAAAAGGATGCATATCCATATTCACTATAATCTCAACTAATTACCCTAAATGCTCAGATTAATCTTGGATTAATTTTATATTTTGGCATTTTCAAATTACAATTACAATAAGCATATTACTTTTATGGTAAGGGAAAAAGAACCCTCTTTAATAGTGAAAAATTAAAAACAGTAATCTATTTCCAGTTTTCCAAATACAATTACTATGAACATGTTATACTGTCATGGTGGGGAAAATGAAACACCTATCTTTTTAAACAGCAAGTAAATAAGGCAATAAAGCTGTCATGAATTTTTCAAAATTATGACAGCCAATAAGTTCAGTTCATTTTTAGTTTCAAAATTGTTTATCAGAGCTAAATATTTGACTTTATTAGAAATTTGATTCCATGCATTTGTCTTCTAATTATCTTCTAATATCCTCCAATTATCTTCTAATATCTTCCAATTATCTTTTAATATTTCACAAAATCTAAAAAGCTTCTAGGCTGGGGTTGTGGTTCAGTGTTAGAGCTCTTATCTAGCACATATGAGGTACTGGATGTAAGTAAATAAATAAAATAAAGGTTCATCAGCAACTAATAAAAATATTTTTAAAAAAAATCTAAAGAGCTTCTAAGGAAACCATGGCAGATTTCATGTGTTTTCTTGTGAACATGCTCACTCACCACAGACCAGTGCTCTTCGATTAGTAGGTACTCAGGGTTTGTAGGTACTGCCTGCTTAGTGTCTTAGTTATGAAAAATGTGCTCACTTAATGATAAGCCAATCAGCTTTCCATTGTATCAAAAACAAACCTAGGGGGCTGGGGTTGTGGCTCAGTGGTAGCGCACTCTCCTAGCACGTTCGAGGCACTAGGTTTGATCCTCAGTACTACATAAAAATAAATAAATAAAATAAATGTATGTGTCCAACTACAACTAAAAATAAATATTTAAAGAAAAACAAATCTAAATAAGATTGATGATTTTTCTATATTGCTATCTTCAATATAGCTTGACTTCAAAAGACCCAGTGGCTCTTTGCCACTGTAACAGATAATAAATTATAAATAAATCATTCAGCTGTGAAGTCCAAAGAAATTCTGACATTTTTTAGTGCCTTAACAATGATGGCCCATATTTATTCATTTAGGATAAATCACTTAAATCACTAATAATCTACTCTGAGTAATTCCTTGAGATAACATCAAGAAGACAATATCCATACCTGGAAAATAAAACTTCACTTTTAATTAACTACATCACTCTTAATAGTTAATTAAGAATGATTGTGAGATCAGATTCTTTAAAAAAAAGAAAGTTTTCATTGAGAGCATATCAGAGATAGTTGGGCTTTCCCATTCAGCTATACTCTTTAGATAAGGGAAGGTCTACAACTATATTGTACCATGTTTGCAGTGCAAATTCTGAGAATGCCAGACAAAATTCAAGGTTTGGAAGAAGAGGAGGAGTTTTTTGAATGATGTCACCAGGAAGTGGATTTATATAAGCAGGCAAAGCTTGGCAGGTTGCACTGGACTCTTCACATCATCTTTTCTGGAAAAATGTGAATTTCTCAATAAGCCCTTGGTTTCCCCTGAAGTAAATCATCTATGAAATACAGTGGGAAGCTTCGGACAATGACTTGTGCAGAGTTACACACTGTGACCTCCATTCACAGACATGATTCAGTTTCAGACCATCGAAGATAACATTTTATGAAATGGTTTGAGTCCTTTCAAGGTTATCACTGTTAAGCAGTTCCTAAAAGGCATAAAATTAATCCCTAAGAGGTACACCAATTCATTTAAACAAATTAACTTTGAACTAAAAAAAAAATCACTTTGAACTAAACACCTGCAAAGAAAAGGCCAATAACATTACTACATCATGCTGCTTTATGGTCTTATAGAAATGGTCCTCACTGAAGCAATAAAAACTTCCAGATTAATCCTTTACATTTTATGGGAATTAATTGCAAACTAGCACAATCCCAACATTTTGAAATTTTGCTGTACACTGAGCATAATGGGGTTTTGCTTTGATGTACATGTACTTATTTGTGTTTAATTGTTCTCAGATTAGAGCCAATTTACAGAATCCATTGATTTGCTTGCTGGTGCTTGGCACATTGGAAATTCTGTTACAGTCTCTTTCACTTTGCAACACCAGATATTCCACAGAGATTGCTTTAATTTGAAAGTATCTTATCCTTTTTTCAAAAAACAAAAATATTAAGCAAGTTTTTGGTGTGTTTTAGGACTAAATAGTATAGTTACATTTGAAGACTGGGATTCTGTAAAATGAAAACGTTCATGATTAGAAAATGAATAATTACCTTCAATGATCCCCAGAAAGTAGATGCCTGTGATTCTTCCTAAGTGAGGTCATGTGGATAACTACTTCACTAAGAATCCAAGTTCGAGGTCTCTACATTGTTTCAAAAGCATTATAGAAATATGATACCTCCATCCCTCACCCAGTTCTTGATCCTTCTCCAGTGCAGGGATTCATCACGAGCCAAAGTTGAAGGAGTTTACAGAACCTTAAACAAATGTCCAGTGAATATGACGTCGGCTCAAAAGGAGCTTTCTACAAATTTTTCAAAAAAGAGAAATTGTACAAATTTCACATGCACTTATCCAAAATATCCAACATGTGTTTTTCGTACAGTCAACATTTGACCATGAAAGGACAAATTTAGTATGCTGATCAAGATTAAAGGAACCATTAAAGATCTTTCTGGAAGAGCCAGAATGATGTCTTTGTTGAAATTGTGCCTAGGATACTTGAATAATCTTATCAATCCCGGATGTCAAAAAACCCCACTGAGGATTGACCTAACTTTTAAATTATTTTCAGAATTGCAGTAACACCAAAGGACTGATTCTACAGTGTAGAAAAATGTTAGCTCAAAGACAGAAGTGTGTTAACCAGCCTGGGCAGCATACAGATTTGACTCCTTTCCCTAGTCATCCTCACTGAGTTCCCAGGATGGTCTCTGAACCTGCTCTTGCCTGATACAAATGAGACGTGATTTCTTTAACGACCTGATTCAATTTTTTATTACCCGTCCTGGGATAGATCTGTAATGGAGGGGAGAAGCCTGCTACCAAGATGGAAGCATAGGTTGGGAGTTAAAGGGGAGAAGAGGACTGTGTCTGTTACTACTACATTATGTTTAAAAACCACTGACCAATTTCTCTACTCTTTACTGTTCTAAAGATTTAGCCATGCAGATACTACAGTAAAATCCCATTTATCAAAATAAGTCAGAAGAAAGATCATTTTTATTAAAATTGTGTTTCTGAGAAAGTGGAAAATATCAATTTAACCTAAGAATCTGTGTAGAAGGGAAAGAAGAGAATCTATTCCATTTCGATAATGTAATAAAAGCCAAAATTACTACTTTTTTCCCTTTATAAAGAAACTAGAATTTTTTTAAAAAAAATTTGTTAAAATCCCCCGCAAAGTACCTGAGCTCATGTAATTCTCTTACTAGACATTAGCTTCTATTTATATTAGAAAAAGATTACATAAGATTTTTTGTTTCACTCATTACAAATTTGGTGGGTTTCTTATTTTCTAATCACTTTTGTGCTGCTAATCTGAGCCAGTTAACCAAGTCCTGGGTAATTATTCTAGTTATTTGTAAAGGCTGTGATATAGGCTGGTAATTTTTACACTGAAAACAATTATCTTTCCAGCCAAAGTTAAAAGTTTTACCATATGTAAACTTGAAGTTGCCAGAAATGGGAACGATCAAGGCAGGACATGGATGATAACTGCTTACTGTCACTCCTTCCACCCCAGGAAGAGCTCAAAGTACACACCTTCTTGGTAATGGAACTGACTTTTCAAATATTTCTAAAGAGAAGCAGGAATTTGCTAAACTGAACTGCATGAAGGAAAACAGATGGCTCTTGAGCAGGCAGACACCTTCCTTGGGTGATGTTAACATTATGACTAAAACCAGTTTTTGAGAACTATAATAAAACAAGTCAGTGCAAACAAGAATGATTCGATGAAGATGATGATGGTCTTTGTCTATTGACTTATGTTTATGTTTCAGTTATTTGAGAAAGTCAAAGAAGTTTGTCCAAAAGTGCATGAGAAGATTAAACCTATTTATGCAGATCTCAATCAGAAGGACTTAGCCATCAGCAAAGAGGACGTGAAGGAACTCCTGTCCTCTGTCAATATCATCTTCCACTGCGCGGCCACTGTACGCTTTGATGACCCACTGAGGTACCTTCCCATTTCCCCCTCATGGCTTGCATGTGTGTGTGCATGTACACATATGCATGTAAGTTTCTTTATGGTTTCTGTAAGAAATATTTTTAAAAATAACAAAAAACCCAGCTGTCCGATGAAAAAATTATATACACAAATAAGCAAATCTCCAAAATCCCATCATCCAGAGACAACCACCTATTATAGAGAACATACAGTCCAACTTTTCTTTTTACATCTATTATTATATGATGTTTAACTTTGCAAAAATATGGCATCCTATTGAGAATGATATTTTGCAATCTATTTACTTATAATTTGGATGTCTTTCATTTTCAATAAATATTCTATAATTGGGAGACTGAGGCAGGAGTATTGCAAGTCTAAGGTCAACCTGGCAATTTAAGGAGACCTTGACTGGAGGTGTATCTCAATGGTAAATTGCCTCTAGGTTCAATTCCCAGTACCACAAAAAAAGTTGTTACAATTTGTAATGATTATGACATTCCATTGTATGTATATGTAATATACTCAACCAGTTCTGTATTGATGAACTAATTGTTCTAATTTTTCATTATTATAAACAACTCTGTAGTGAACATCTTTGTTTATAAGTATGTTTATTTGTCTATATATTTGTGTATAGATTATTTTTAACTCTTTGTGTATTCTCTATGGAGTAAATTTATAGAAGTAGAATTTTCAGATACATATTAGATGTCTCCAGGTTATGAAAAGTTTACATTTTTACATATAACACTAATTCCTCTTCAAAAGGTAGTGTAAACCTAACATTGTTCCTGTGTACATGAATGCTTGTTTCTTATACTCAAAATATGATTTCTTAATTTTTTTTAATGTTGCAACTATGATAGTAGATATGGTATTGTATGTTTTGATTTTTATTTCTTTGATGATTGGAAAGTTCGACAATTTTTATAGGCTTATTGACATTTTATTCCTTTGTGACATGCCTATTCATGTTCTTTTTCCTGCTTTCTACTGAAACATTTTTCTTTTTAATTTTGAGGTTTCCTGGAAAATTCAGCATAATATTTTAGCAATTTTTCATTTGTCTTTTAAATCTTTATTATTTGTACATTTTTTATAATTTCTTCTATTATATTTTTAGTTTTATTTTTGCATTTAGATATTAGATCCATTTAAAATTTAACTATATACAGTAATAGAAAAAATCTACAAATGGAAAAATGATGTAGATGTGAAGGTAGAGTTGCTATTTTTTTTCTTCCAGATGGTTAGCTCTTAAACAATATTTATTAAATGATTTATTTACATTCTATTAAATGAAACTCTTGTGCTCAATTCCTTAGACTCTTTCTTAGACTTTCTTTGCCAATACCACACAGTTTTAATTATTGTAATATTTATTATATTAGGGCAAGTATTCCAGAGCACAGCTTTTTTTTTTTTAAGATAGACTTTATTCAAAGAGAGAGAGAGAGAAAGAGAGAGAGAATTTTTCAATATTTATTTTTTAGTTCTTGGCAGACACAACATCTTTATTTTATTTTTTTATGTGGTGTGAGGATCGAACCTGATGCCCTGCAAGTGGGCTACCACTTGAGCCACATCCCCAGCACCCCAGAGCACAGCTTTTTAAATTGAATTTTCTGACTATTTTCAATTGATTTTACTTCATGTTTACATTTAAAATAATTTTTACAAGGTTTTAAAAAATTTGGGGGAGTTTAATTAGCACTAACTTGAATATGTAGATTAATTTAGAACACCTATTTAAAATAGTCTTTTCATTTACTTCATTAATTAAGTTTTGTGTTTTGTTTTGTGGCACTGGGGATCGAACCCAGGGACCCTCTGCCACAGAGCTACATCCTCAGCCCTTTTTATTTTATTTTGAGTTGCCCAGACTAACCTCACACTTGCTATCCTCCTGACTCAGCCTCCAAATCACTGGGATTACAGGAGTTTGGCAATCAAGCCCATTAATGATATGTTAACATTTTTTTTATATATCTATTTCTGATTAATTTGATTTAATAAAAAATGTCTGGTTTGAATGTGTCGCTTTCTTACATTGTTGTCTCTAAGTTTTGTTCATATATAGGAAAGCTAATGATTTTTTATATAATTTTTATAAGGGGACATTTTATTGAATTATCTTCTAAAAAAGCTCTTTTTGTTTGTTTTCCAAATATGCCATTATGTAACCTGATAGTGATTTTTTATGACTGCCTTTTCAAACCTTTACATCTGTTCATTGATTTTATTTTCCTCTCTAACTGCAGGGCTGGGATTTCACAACAATATCAAGTACGAGGAGTGATTATAGACATCTTCCTAGCCCTTAAAGCAGTGTTCCCACCTGTTCACCATTAAACAGGACACTGACCAGCAAACTGAGATGTACATTGTTTAATCATTTTATTTCCATTTTAGTAAATTTTTTAAATTAGAGAATAGATATTAAATGTCAATTTAAGACTTTTCAGAATATATATAAATGATTATATAGTTGTTTTCTCTTTGAGTTAAATTAGAGTAATAGGTTTCCTGATATTAGATAAACCATGTGCTTCTGATAGTGATTTTTTATTTTTTATGATAGTGACTATGTCACTATCACCACATACTGTGTTTATAGAGCTTTGTGTTCTATTAGCTGCAATTTATGGTTTTGACATCAATTTTCATGTCTGATCTGGATCTTTACTGTAGCAACTTACATTGTTCATTAAAAAATCCACAATTTATTTGTAATTTCTAACCTTTTGAATTAGATCTTAATTTATGTACTTTTGTTCTTTTAATGGCTGCTTGTAAAAGCCCGTTTATGAATTCAGAGGATCATGATCTTCCTTCTGGTTGATTAGAAACAAGTAACCCCTAAGCACAACATGTTCCATGCTTCAAGGAACAGGACTCAGGTGCACAAATCACAGCATTAGCAGGACCAACCAATGTCTTCAGCTTGTAGCCATGACCCATCCTTTCCCTCCTTGTCCTCCATGGCTGCCTTGTTGATATGCTAGTTATTGGAGTAGGCACAATCACAGCAGGGGGATGCTGTGTCATTCATCATGTGTCCTGCTGCTTAATCTTTTCCAGACATGCTGTGCAACTTAATGTCACTGCTACCCAGCAGCTCTTGCATATCGCCAGTCAGATGACAAAGCTTGAAGCCTTCATACACATCTCTACTGCCTATTCCAACTGCAACCTGAAGCACATCGACGAAGTCATCTATCCATGCTCCGTGGAGCCAAAAAAAATCATCCAATCCATGGAGTAAGTTGGGTCAATGGAAGGGATTGAGGAGTGGGCTGGTTGTTTTTATTTTATTTTTTAAAAATTAAATGACAGCGAATGCACTACAATTCTTATTACACATAATACAGGACAAATTTTTCCTATCTCTGGTTGTATCTTGACACTAATTCGTGTTTTCATACATTTACTTTGGATAATGATGTCTATCACATTCCATCATCCTTGCTAACCCCCTGCCTCTTCCCTTTCCCTCCCACTCCCCTGCCCTGCTAAGAGCCACAGCCAAGTAATATGATGCATGGCATTTTTGGTTGAAAGGTGACACCAGCTAGCCATGGAGATGATATGATTATGTTAAGATTTGCATTCATATGGATATTGGACTCCTGCTGTTCACCTCGGCCTGCTAGGGACTCCTGAAGAGTTCCTATTGGTTGGGGAAGTGCATTAGGAGGGAATTCTGGGGGAGCAACTTCCTCTGGGGTTCCGGGAGAATGCCGTGTGTGTGGATCGGCAATCTTCCCGGGCGCATATGGGGCATTGGCAGCAGTTTCAAAAATAAAGTTTGTTCCTGCTTGAGTGGCTCGTGATTTTGTGCCCAGCCAGACTGCGACTCTGCCCTATCTAGAATTCATTTAGACTATGAATCAGTCTCCTTTTATCAGAGAAAACAATCGACATTAGTTTTTTGGGGATTGGTTAACTTTACTTAGCATTATCTTCTCCAGCATCATCTATTTACCTGCAAATGTGAATTTTGCTGCTATAAACATTGATGTGGCTGTGTCCCCTTAGCATGCTGTTTTTAAGTACTTTGGGTATAGACTGAGGAGAGGGGTAGATAGGTCTGCAAATGCCATGATTTTATTCTCTTTTATTGCTGAGTAAAATTCCAACCAAGAAAAACAAATAACCCAATCAATAAATGGGCCAAGGACCTAACACTTCACAGAAGAGAATATCCAATCAATCAATAAATATATGAAAAAATGTTCATCATCTCTAGCAATTAGAGAAATGCAAATCAAAACTACTCTAAGATATCATCTCACTCCAGACAGAATGGCAGCTATTAGGAAGACAAACAACAGTAAGTGTTGGCAAGGATGTGGGGAAAAGGTACATTCATATATTGCTGGTGGGGCTGCAGATTGGTGCAGCCAATATGGAAAGCAGTATGGAGATTCCTTGGAAATCTGGGAATGGAACCACCATTTGACCCATCTATCCCTCTCCTCAATCTATACCCAAAGTACTTAAAAACAGCAACTACAGGGACACAGCCACATCAATGTTTATAGCAGCAAAATTCACAATAGCTAAACTATGGAGGCAATCTAGATGCCCTTAAGTAGATGAATGGATAAAAAAAAATGTGGCATATATCTATTTGATTCTTTATCATCGTTCATTATTGAATGAAGTGGGACATCCTTGCAGCCGGCCATGGGATGAATGCCTGTAATCCCATTGGCTCTGAAGGCTGAGACAGAAGGATCATGAGTTCAAAGCCAGCCCTAGCAATTTAGAGAGGCACTAAGCAACTCAGTGAGACCCTGTCTATAAATAAAATACAAAATAGGGCTGGGGATATGGCTCAGTGGTTGAGTGCCCCTGAGTTCAACCCCTGGTATCCCCCCACACACACACACACATACACAAAAACATGCTCCTGTCCTTGCTAGTTCCTTTATTCCCTGATAGGGATTATACTGCTGAAGGGGAAGAGAGATAGAAAATTCTTAAAGAAACCTTTTGTTTAATAGTTTAGCACTGCATAAGATACTTGGGAATACCATAGATGTGATTTCTCACTTTTTAATAACACCAGTATTGTCACTAGCTAAAGGAAATATAATGTACAGTATAAAAAGTTCAGGAGAAAATTTTTTGTAATCAGACTTGTATGAGTTCAACTTAACATAGTAGCTGTGTGACTTTGAGCAAATTCCTTGGTTCTCTGAAGCCAAGTACCTTCTTTTGTAACACAGGTCTATCTTATAGTTGTGATCATGTGTTAAGTTATATAAAGTAATAATTACAGTGCTAGAGTGTAGCCAAATGCTTAGTAAAGAAGAACTAATCAAGAATAGGAATTCCTCAAAGATCTGGCTGAAGGTGACAGTCTTTTGACATATTCATCTGAGATGGGCTCTTTACTGCTGTATTGTGCAGTCTCTAGAATTTCTCTTGCCAACTGATAGAAACCACTTTCTTCTTAGGATGCTGCCCCGGTGTCAAAATAAGTCCATTTCTGTTTTCCATTTCTTCATTCTTCTCCATTTTATCATCTTTAACTCATTTTTTAAAAAACTCTACATAAAAAATATTAAAGCAGGGAAAAATGACTATTTTACAGTGAATTTGTCACATTATAACTTCATACAATACAGTACTTATGTTCAAATATATATATGTATATATACATATATATTTAAAAAACTTTAGCTAAATCAAAAGTTTATTCCCTCGGGGCAAACATTTTTATCTCTTTCAGGTATGAGAACAGATATTTTTACCTGTCACTTAAAAATATCCAGGACAAAGAAAAGTGAAAGTCATCTAAAGGATCTGGAGGTTACTTGAAGTTGCTAATAAGTGATGATTTGCTTCACTGGTGCAAAGGGATGTTTCAGAGTCCAAAGTTTATCAGGATAGTTGGAGAAAGGCAGGTGTAGTTTGATGCCCAAAGTTAATGCAGCAAGATAGATAGATAGATAGATAGATAGATAGATAGATAGATAGATAGATAGATAGAGATAGGTAGGCATCTCTGTGATGGTTCTGTCCCTAGAGCCTGCTCCCTCTCTGCCTCCCTGGTGAGTCCTACTGGCACCCCAGTGCTCTCCCCCGACGCCCCCTGGCGGAGGCTTCTTTCACATAGGACCCAGGGCTCCTCCTTATCATTGCCATTAACATAGTCATTTATAAACATCTGGTTGCTTGTCTATATTCTCCACTAGACAATGAGCTTCTCAAAGGAAGAGAGTTTTTCTTATTGCTCTTTGCACCTCCAGTATCATCACATAGTAGGGGCTCAAATATTTCCTGAATGAATGAAAAGCTTTCCATGGCATTAGATGATCATCATTCCCACTGTTCTGGCTGATTCTTGTTTTTCAGAAAGAAGCAAGAACTGACAATATTGCATAACAAGCTAATATTTGGGATGTGGAGGTTATGTGTAAAATATCTCTACTTCCATACTTCACCCTGTTTTGGATTGCTTTTTTTTTTCTTCTTACACTTTTAATTAAACCTACCTGTGAGTTTTGAATAATACTTTAAATGAAGCCTAGCAACCCCTGAACAACGAAACTTTCAGTATGACTGTTTCAACAACTCCTATATTACATGAAAATTTTGAAATTTTAGAATAACAAATGTCATCAAAGTTATTCTGAGTAAATATAGATGGAATATCTCTTCTCCAAAATACTTGGATCCTAGATTTTTTGGAGTTTATATTTTTTTCAGATTTTGGAATATTTACAATTACATTATGAGTTATCTTGGAGATCAGACAGAAGTCTAAACACAACATTCATTTATGTTTCATGTACATCTTACACACAGAGCCTGAAGGTAATTTTATACAATACATTTAGTGTGTCTTCATTTTGACTGTAACCTACCACATGAATTCAGGTGAGAAATTTTCTACTTGTAGCATCATGTTGGCACTCAAAAAGTTTTGGATTTTGGAACCTTTCATAGTCAGACTTCTGGACTAGGGATATGCAACCTATAATAATTCATCTAAATTCACATTCAGTGGGATTTAAGAAATTTCTCTCTGATTTCTTCTCTACTTAGTAATTGTTAAAAGAAAATTATCCTCCAAGATTTTTAGGTTTCTATTTCCAGTTCTGAGGACTAAAAGAGAATTTGCATTTTTCTCCCCCTCCAACAGCTTTCCCAATTGTTTAAGCCAGAGTGACAGAGCTCAGGGTTTTTAAGAAAGGGAAGTGGGGTGGGAGCCTAACCCCCATACCTATCACCCTGCCCCACCCTTCACCATCTCAGGTCTCTCCTCACTCAATTCACCCCTTTTACTGTCCAAAAAACAGCGTTGGACTGCGAAGCCTCAGCTCCCTTCCTTCAGCCCCTTTCTGGAAACTTCCAGAATTACTCTGGTGGACCATTCCAGAAAAATGAAATTTGATCATGTCAGTACAAGAACTTCAGCATGTTGGTATAAACATATTTTTAATAAAACTTAACTAGGAGTTAGTAATACTTTTAATTAGCATGACAGGCAGGGCCATTAGTCAGTGACCAGCAACTGGTTTTCTTAGCCCTCTTGCCTGCTGTTTTCTGCTGCCCTTCATCCCTGCAGACATTGCCGTGGGACCGTGTGTCACCATTCTAGCTCAACTCTACCTTTATACCAGCTTCTAGATATTTCATGATATTTACCTTTAGAAACTTGTGTGTATAAAGGATCAGGAATTGCCCGGGAAATCTGAGCTTTCCAGAATAACAGCTTAAGTAGAATGTTTCTTTTTAAAAATGCACATGACTGACTAGGAAAGATAGGCTTTTGTGGTTGTTGTTTTCCATAGTTTTCAGGTCAAGGTAACTATCTCAATGAAACTAGCATAGAAGTAAAAAAAAAAAAAAAAAAAAAAAAAAAAAAAAAAAGACTTTTGCACTTGTGTAAAAACCTGAAGTAACTAGAGTTAGGAACTTAATAACGGATCCATAAATACTGACTGCTTTGGCTAACGTACAAAATAAAACTAGTAAATATGCATTAGGAAGGGAAGGCAGGGAGATGAGCCACTACCAAGCAGCTACTTGAACAAGACACGGACATTTAATTCCTCAATGGAGCATTGCCAGGTTGATCTTGTCGTCACTGCCATACTAAGGAATGGGCAGAAAGCTCAGACAGGCTAGGTAACACTTTGAAAGTCTCTCAATTGGTAAATCGCAGATGTAATTTTTGACCCACAGCCACATGATCCTGAAGGCCACGGTCTTTCTGGTGGTACCAGAGACTTACAGGTGATCTT